CGATCCTACGGGTGTCTCGCAGCACATAATTTGCAAGGTTCGTGTCTTGGTAACAGGTTTCGCAGTTTTTCAGGCAAGCTGGATACGACACAGCTCTGCATCAGACGGCAACTGCATTTTCTGGGTGTGGTGGGTAGCTGACGATTCACTGAAGCATATATCAAGGCATTGTCTGAGTGATAAATGCCTTTGCCGCCACATCCGCTTGGTGGTGCTGGAGATCCAGCACGATTCTATCTCGTAGGAGAAAGTCAGGTATACAATTGCAAAAGTTACAGAAACAAGCCAGGATCTTCGGCTCCGTAACATAGTTCTCGATAGATTCTTTCGGGCGCTTGTTTTTAGTAAAATAGAGATACCGCTGATAGGTCTCTTTAGCCTGGCCGTGGCGGAAATCGCCGAATTTTCGGGTGACTGTTCCCAGCTCGTTTGGGTCTTCGTCCTTTAGGTACCGCATTGTTTCCAGAACGTGGTGTGCTTCATCTCCGATCGTATGTATAAACATTGCCAAGCGATACACCATCGGTTGTTCATTCCGACACACCGGTACGCAGAGATCGATACACTCGATTCTCCAGGTTCTCCATTTGCTGGCTTAATTGTGTTCTTCCATGTTCAATGGAGCGGCAGGTTGCACTCCAATCAGCAACTGAGCACCATTCGGTGATATTGCCTTGATTTTCTCTGACACCATGTCGCAGCACTCTGTGCTTCAGGGGCAAACGGTTTATTCAACAAAGCAAGCTCAGCGAAAGTGGCAGCATGATTATGTTTGTAGAAATCTCGATGTAAATAATTAGGTCAATTCCATAACTAACGACGCTTCTGCATTCATGAGATTCTTCCTTTGAATCAGTTAAACAAACCCGCTCTAGCGTAGCCAAAAACGAACCAATCAGGGCATTGACAAAACTTGCGTAGGCGTTTAATCATTTGCTATGTTCGCTTGCGGCTAGGTAGCCACTTGCTTCATCATGTAAATTCGTATGGTCCATCTGTTTGCACAATCGCATCGCGGTTGGTCATTTTGTTATGATATCGTTGAACCGCAGATCGGGAGTTAAAGTTCTAGGTAAGATGATTAGCAGATAGGTGCTCCCTTGAACCGGGAAGAGTGAGTGCCGTGGTCGGAATCAAGGCAGTGCTCCAAATTGACCGGCAGTCTTGCATTGATCCGTACCATCTGTAGATGATGGCAAAATGGTCAATTTAGGTCCAGATCATTAAGGCATTCAGTGGACGCCAGGTGACGCGGTATGAACATTTGTGCTGGAAAGCATTGCTGCTAAGTTAAAGGTTGTGGTCGGCGCACAGTTGCAGGAACCGGTCACCATAGTCTGTTCGGGGTGCATCGACCCCGAGGCGGCTTCCAATTTGGTCACTGTCTGAAAGACGGCGCACTTTGACATTCAAGTCACTAGCAACAATCACAATGTCAGTATTCTTCGCCCTGCGGAGAAGAGGGTGGTAGAAATAGCTTCGGCACTCACCGAGGCTTTCCTACACTTCGCAACAACGCACCGACGGTGTCACTCCGAATGATGATGAAAAGTTTGCAACAAAATTGCCCAGCTCATCGAGCAGTTCAACCGCCATCTGAACAACCTGCGTTACTAGTTTTCGTTTCCATGGTTGTGTCTTTCTTGGTTTCGGCATTTATTCTCAGTTACTGTGGCTTGGGGGTCTTCGACATTTGATTCTGCGGGCAAGCTCTCCCTACTTATCCGAATGCCCGAAATTACCGATATCGCGACTGTTGCGGGTGTCCGCTGCTCAGGTAGATCGCTCATTGGAGTCAGGACATCATGCCGACATCCTTGATTTTTGCATCGCTAGTGGTAATCGCTTTCTTCGGCACTTTACTGATCGCGATCTCGTTGCTGGCAGCGTAACTTTTCAATGGATCACACCGAGTTGCATGGCGTACGCCAAACGACGGACAGTTTCAGACTCAATTTGACCACATCGCATTTAACTAAAGGTGGTGCACATCTTGGAACACCTGATTCCGTCAATGTTCTTCGTTTTCTGTAGTGTTCTCATCAGCGTTGCTTGAAATTCGGGAGGCAGTAATTGTGACGTTAGGTAGCCATTGGTGCACGCGGTGAGCAAACCGAATTTTGATTGAAATCACCTGGAATGGGTTATTCAAAAGCATTCGAAGCAAGACACACTTCATTAACTGATCGGCTCTAACGTTACTGTCCTCCTTTTTGTCAGTACACCATTTTCATTTTAAAGTAGCGTTTTACAAACCAAACTTCCGAAATCGGCATGTAGAAGTAGGACGTGTACCGGGATGTCGATAGCGTAGGCTTGTCAGGTTGCGATTATCGTGGCGCTGTTGACGCTATCTCGTTCGTTGTGGCACTTCTTGAGCGTTATCTTTATTCTCCTGAGAGGGTTGAAGACAGTAGATACGAATAGGTGGATCCCGTTCTTACTCAGCTGCTGCTGCTGCAGCTATACCAAACTGTCCTCAGAATGCCGTTCAGCGGTCTCTTCGACGCGCTGCAGGACCACGGAAGTCAGCTTCTCCATGTTGTTTCCTCCACATTTGCGCTAAGAGTCCGTGCCTTCTCCTTTGTAGGCAATGTTGATATTTCCTGCAGTGCTCTCGTTGACATCGGCGACTTCAGCAGATTCTTGGGTGATTTTGCCGTCGACGAGCACAAGCTTGGTGAGGGTCTCTTTCTGTGCCAATAATGTTCGCTTGTACCGCCGCATCTTTGACAATTCGTTCTCTCCTCGCTCATTTTGGTCGTTTCCTGCAACATAAGGCTAATAAAGTTATGCTGGGTTTAGTGGAGTCATGATAGCCTACACTGTTCTAATGGTCGTGCGGCTGCATGAGTTTGCCCACACACGCACACGCACACGCGAAGGCCCACAGAGGAAAACTGGGTCACCGCCCATCCGCTACATCAGTTAAGCCCCAGTGATCGAATTGGCCATGGTTTACTTCAATGGGAATCGCTGTCTAGATTGAGGTTGCATATCGCAATCCATTCAAAAACTAGTGCTTCACACTAACCCTCCAATGGTATTTGCCATTTGTTTAATTCATAATAGGTTACGCGATTCAGGAGTCACACAGCTACACAGGTCCATGCGTAAAGGCACAGGCACATAAACCACGCGAAGGCCAATTGGAAGAGTGTGGGAAATTCAGTCATCGCCTTTGATCGAAGTTCATGACCAAAAGAAGGGTTTACAGTGGAACCCGCTGCTTACACAAATCAGTTGCATTAGCATGACCACAATATGGTGTGGACATCGTCTAGTCGCCTTACTCCACATTTCTTGCTAAAAATTACTGGTTTTCTGCTTAGAATGTTATATGTCCAATTTTGTTTGCGGATCGTTCAGGGAAGCCCATGGTTTCGTATTGTTTACCGATTGCCCTGCCTTGTTGGGTGAAACCCAGAAGTGACCATTCGACACTTGGAAAGAAAATACAGGGCCCAGTCTGATTGGCGCTTGTGATCTTCCTGAATGGGGTCTTTGTGATCGGTTACATCAGGTGTTGAATACATTGTCGTATGTACGCAGTCAATGAGTCCATGTCATTTCTTGCCCTATTTCTGAATTTCGCTTCACCCGAACAGTTTACTTTTTCACCCCTCCTCTTGAGTCATTTTTTCATTTTTATTTCACGACGATCCAAAGTATGAGTTCAATACGGTTTGGTGGACAAATCATATTTGATCTGTTGAACTGAATTGCTCTACCCCGTCAACACACATGAAGTAGACTAATTCAAATCACGCTCTTTATCCATCCGAGCACCTCGTTCTCTTATTATGTCGATTGACTTGACATTCGGTTGGTTATTCTGTGTTCAAATTGACCTGCCGTTTGAAAACCAGCATTTGTGCGTTCATACGTTAACCCCTCTGTACGAAGCATGCACTCACTGGACTTTCAGTTTCAACTGGATTCACTACCGACTAATCTGGGTTCTGCTGGTCCTTCCTACCCTTCTTATTGGGATCCACGCGGTCTACGCTGTGATTAGCCCGACGTGTTCCAAGACGCATCCCACAACAAGCATCGGTGCTATGCTTGCTGTCATCTCTCTAGCCGAAATCTCTGCTCTAAGTGTGGATAGCGCTGAGCCAGGTGCCGAGGTCCGGTAGACTACCTGAGGCAGTGCAAGTTGAAAGGGGGTTACCTCATTATTAAACATTGGCCTGATGTAAACCCACTGAATTCAGTAATTCGCTTATATAATTTCGGTCCTAAATCGGGTCCCTTTTCGTCTCTCTGCTTATTCCTCATACGTCAACCTGTTTATAACGTAACAGGCTGCCAATACACAACACCGATGTCCTGTTGTTGGTAACGATAATTACGAAGCAGCGGTCCAGTGTGCTGGTCACAAGTCCACCATGCATCTGTACACTGAAACGCATGAATGCATGAGTTTTCTATAGATTTTGAAATTTTGGATTCAGATTGGTGTGTTTTGCATCAATACTCTTTTGATTTTAGTCAGGATGTGATATCAGTTGGAAGAACGAAAGAGGATGCTACTGATTACACATGGTTCTCTCCTCTTGTCTGTGTGATTGTGGGACAGATCGGATAATATGGGCACATACCGTATCATTTATCGTTCGTTATCTTTAGATATTTGCCGTATTTTCCATCAAGTACCCACCTGGATAGCACGAGAGCTTTAATGCATAACTGTTGGCCTGATTTCATGGGGTCGACGGGGTTATTCACATACTGCGTGGGTGTCGGCATATGTGGTAATCGCACACATGATGTTCCCCCTCCCTGCGAAATGGCTGGATTGTTTGCGGGTGTAGATCTGGAGCCATACGCTGTTTTAGTGCTCAGGTGCCCCTTCTCCGCGCTTATAATGCTCGGCTAGTCCGTAAATGATTGTTTCTGCTCATATGTGAGATCCGTCAGACTCTAGATTTCAATCACTATGTTTGTGTCATCTCTTCTGTGACATCCGTTTATTCTGCGCCTGTTTTTCCCCGCAGCGCTGCCACCGGATTCGAATCTCCATGTGTTTTGATTCAAATACCCGAGGGAACAGCCAAATCGGAAGTAACTGGCTCAGATCAACCACAATCCGAAGCTAAACCTTCGGGTGGCTCTTCCAAGGCTAAAGTAGGGGAATATTTTGCATGCATGTATGTATGTAAGATGTATTACTTGAGTAGAACACCTTTTTTCACCGCCGCCATCTCTCATACGTTTGTCCACTAACTATTTGGCATTACATCCAGATTTTGTCTTAGTATCTTATCCACAGTACTTGAGCTTGCTGGCTTTAAATCATGAAGCGCTTTTCCGCATTACTTTTTAGTCCAAACCGGTTGTAATGACCAAAGAAGAAGAAGCCAAAGCGGCTGAGCGCCAGCGCAAGAAGGAAGAGAAGAAGGAGGCACGTAAAGAAGGCAGAGCCAAATATAAGCAAACTGGGAGCGGTGATCAAACTGTTAAGAACCAGCCACAGGTTACAGCGCATGTCACCGAGGTTGACGTCACAATCGCAAAAGCTGGTGTTCCCACTGTTCCGTCGGATAGGAATGCAGAACGTCCTACCACTGGACAGCAGACCAAAAAACAGACCAAGTACTTCCTTCTATTTGCCATTTTCCTCCGCAGGTGTCAGTGATCATCTACGCAGTTTTGCGTTGTGAATGAGACTCGCGTATATCGTCATTGCCTACGTATGTGACAGTTTCAACGCAGTTGAAAACAGCAATAATACTACTAATGCGCATCCTTAGTACGAGGAAACCTTTAGAGAGTCATCTTTGTTATTATCACCAACACTGGCAAGTTAGTACGTGCTGACAGCACTGCAATCACACAACCATAGCTTGAGACAGTTTCACCAATAGGGCCAAAGGTTGGTAACGGGAACTTGACTTGGGTGCATGTGCGTCTTGCGACCATCATATGGCCACAAGCAGCTGAATATCACGTGCAAATAGAGTTGAATCAACTTAGCAGCTTCGTTTCGCCGTTCATCATCATGACCAGTTCTCACATATGGATGGTAGAAGCTGGTGGCATCCTGTTCCGGATAATCACGAAACACTTGCGTCTGTAGAAAGACCGTGGGTTGCTTTCACTACATCTCGCGCAGCTTTACTCACATATCTCGTAAACCTGAAAACCGTGTGCGTACGAATGGGGGCCTCAGTCCATTTAACATTGAATCACTCCCCTACAACACATGCCTTATTGATGTCATAGGGGGAAAACATACGTGGCACATGTACATGAGCAGTGGCTGAGTTACTAGATGGGATATAGCACCGCTCACTATCCACTGACTTGCACGTTACTGCCGTTCAGGGGACAGGGCATCCTCTTATCATTAACATATCATAATGCTACGGGCACGGCAAAAACGTGCAAGTCAGTGGTGAGTGAGCGGCGTTATATCGCACCTAGTCACCTCTGTCGTTACTGTCCCTCGTAGGCAAGTAGTTATAACCACGGACTGGTAACCGTCAGGTTGAAGTTCCTAGCCCCATAGAGGCCATTTGAAATGGACACTGCTGATGATTCCTTACAAATCTTCCGGGCATGTGCTGGCTGGACATGTTACTGGCTTGATGAGCTCAACTTATATCCTACAATTTCCCTTACTACTTCCTTTTAATTAGTAATCTCTTGTGACGGCTTATAACTGCCAGATAGTTGGTAGGTCAGCAACAGAAGTTGTTGCTCCGGACCAGCTCCCTCCTCTGCATATTCTTACTGTGCACTGCTGATCAGCATATGCCGTATTATATCGCTGTCACGGCAATCCTCTGTTGACACTCGTGGGATAGTGGCAAGTGGCAGCGACGGAATGTCGTCAGAAAGTAGCGTGGTCCTCAATGGATTGGCACCTGTTGCGCATCCCTGAACTAACGTACATTATTGCCTCTCACTTATTGAACCGACGAACTAAAATGATGATCGTCGCTCCATACTCGCGCACACGCTTCATTCTTGTGGGCGCACTGGTTTCAATCGACATCGATAACTCCCTGTTGGCGCTGGTTGCCAAGCACTTGGTTACTTTCTATCTCCAGACCGGTTGGTCAAGTCTGGTGGCCATAGAGAAGAATGTTCGTCACAGAAATACGAATCAAGTTGTGTTTGGAAAACCACTGGATTTTCGTACCTTGTGGTGTAGATAGAAATGTTGGGTTGCTGCCAACAAACTGCCTTGTTCAGAGACACCCAACATTCTCGTTGCCTGGAATTTTCTCCCGTTTTCGGGGGTTGTGTCGCGCCATCTTTCTGGCCTACGTCACATTTTCCACTGCTGACTTTCAGCAAGACAAGATTCAGTGACTTAGTCGCATCTTCTCTGTATGCATCGGCATCGCTCGGTCCCTTTCCTCAGTGTGTGATTGCACCCGCTTACTCTCCTCGTGGATCAACGGTATTCATCGCGGTGAATGGCACAGTCTCTGAGGTTTAGCAGCTGGTTTCAATATATTTCAACTCATCCTCCAGCATCATTCACTTTGTTGTGTGTAAAGGACAGGGTAGGCCCACGGCGTTAGACCTCTACAAATAAGCTACCACTGATTTGTCGTACTGTTGTCCATGTGGCACAACCCAATAGTAGTATGACGATTTGGATCAATGCAAACAGAATCCGCCGTAGCTGAGTCATCCAGCGTACACTCTCGGAAACACTGGTGCTCGCTCCATCATTTCGGGGCTGATCGACTTCCTACTACTAAGAATTGTGCCCGCATTTGCTGCTGTTTGACTGGCCCCTCCGTTAATTTTTGATATCAGGGGCTTACTGCAACAGTCAATCCACCTTCATCTAACGAGTCGTTCTCGACCTTTATTAGAACTTAATTCCGACATCGATACGAATTCATCGACTAGGTGTTAGTGATATATGGACGATTCATAGTCACATCGTAGGTTTTTGCCGCCAATTCTATCGCTGTCTACTTCTTCCGTTTGGTCTTACGAGTCCTCTCTGTTGACATAAACATTTTTACCGAAAACCCAAGATGCCCGATGTTCCACTGGTTTTCAAATCTTGCTCGTGCCATTTTCTTTGGGCATCGGCTGTGTGCAGGTACATCTTGATATGTGGTTTATTCTGCCGGACGGAGCTGTTGCTGACGCAAGTACATCCGTTTTTTATGTTATACAACTGTACCTTCGTATCTCAGGCGACCTCTTTCTCATACAGGCTCACAGAGGCTACGGTCACGTGGCTCACTCGAACTTCCCTTGTGTAGTCATTTGAGCACACACTGGAATTCTAACAGCAGTTGCTACTGTTGTATGTAGTTTGTGACGACACAGCCCTGCTTCCACGTCTCTATTTACCTGTTACCTCTTTGTCTCCGGCAGTCCCTGTCCATTCCCTATAATCAAGTTCAGTTTATAATCCCTCCACTAAACACTGCGAATAGGCACCTTTCTACACGATAAGGCTACTACGCCACTGTAACCCAGGATTCTATACTTATCATTCGTCTTGGTGTATCAGCCATGCACAAGCCACTACATGGATACTTCTGATTGGTCGCTTCCCGAAACACGGGTTGCAGATCGCCCGGCGACATTAGTTAGGGTGGACACCGAGTTGCGCCAGGTACTACTCGTCCTTGACCGACCGCAAGTCCAAAGTCGTCACGGATGTCTTTTGCCCAGTTGTTTTTGAGATGCGAGCGCGCAACTCTACCTTTTTATTTTCGGCATTCCAGTTGATTGGTTCGTCTGCATTCTACTCGGGCTTTTTATGGCTGTGCATCTCTGTTGCACTATAGACAGCTTTGACGGTCTCTGGGCGCCTTGGGCTCCAGGCAGCTGCATCACTGGCTGTTGGTTGTTGTTTTGGTCAATTACACCCCTGTGGTGCTGTCAGCTATATCAATGAAGATCGCACAAAAGCATACGTGTTCCGGTCGCAGCCTTTCTGTTGTGTACTCATCAGGTGATCGGCTCGAACAATGATCACACAGTGTACACAGCTGACACCTAGCACTTTCACTTCTTTACTTGGTCGGCTTCCGGCCACTTTGTAAGACACGGGTGCTTCTGCTTGTTAAATCACTGGTAAACACGACAACATACGGCATCTTTGATGGAATCTGTGTAAACGTGGGCCAAAAGATATCCTACAAGTTAGCTGCCGTCTTCTTCTAGTGTCCTTTTTTAAGGACACTTTCTAAAATGTGATTTAGGCATCGAATTACTTAAGACAAACTCAGATTGGCCAAGTTGATTTCAAAATAATAAGGATTAGTATTTTTCTGGAACTTCAACTAAAAATAATACGTATTACAGTAATTTAATGCCAAATCACATTTTGAAGAGTCCTTAAAAAACGCCAGCACGGAATGGTTTAGTGGGTTCGCAGGGAAAAATAACCAAAGGACATTAACACTATCATTAGTTTCTGCTAAACACTACGTCCTTTTCGCTACTCTGGTTGACTGAGTATCTCTTCTGAAATGAAGCGTGCTCGAAAGGAGGGTGAAGTGACAGACAATGGTTTAGGATCAATACGCCCATACCTTTGAGGTTTGCAAAACATTCTCCGGTCGTTTCTTAACCTCACTGTCAACTGTCATACAGCCACCTCTGCTAGCCTTAGCACAATTCGGTCAAACAGTTTTATCGCGGGTGCAAAATCTACGATATTGTTGACGACTATGTGCTATAGCTCACAATTGCAAGCGACATCCAGGTGCTTCCCGGGTTCTCACAACTCGACAGGTTGGATAAAACGGTTCCGAACAACTGCGTCCAACTCGGACATTACAGCTTTCTGGATAGGCTCTGCGAGTTCAGCCGCATCAGTGGCTAAAGAACGCTGTGTCGCAGTTAATGGCACTTCTACACTCAGTTTCTATGTATTCACTTGTAGACTTCCGATTTGACTTTTCTCTATTTCTTCGAATTTTCGTCTGCATGCTCCCCTATTTCTGCTTCCACTGGTATGAATCCATCACACTCCGGAAAACGTCTCATGCCTAGTCACTAGAGCAGAACATGACGGGTTTTGATCTCACTGTTCTGAGGGCGGTGGGCTTCCACAGATAAGAGGAGCGTGAGTGATCTGCCTGACAAATTGGGTTGCATTGAAACCGTTCGCCTTTATAAAGTAGACCCGCTTGCTTTGAACTACGCACCACTTGCCTTTGTTCCGTCCTCAATGTAGTGGACAATTTGAGTGTTCCGTTCTTCTCTAAAGCTATGAATAGTCTTATTCCACTTTTCCTAGTAAGCACGCTTTATCTGATACCCATATCAATGCCACAACGTTCAAATACTGTAAATGAATCGGATGGACATTTCTTGCTTCTCGTGATTCTGCTTTACCTGTTCGAGAATAAATACTGCAACGTGTGCGCAATCAATACTTGTTCGCTGTCAAGCGCCCCACCGACTGACGAGTCTTGACTCTTGTACACACTCTATCATTTTTGACCTATTGCTGTACTCACTTTATCGTCTATATGTGTCCATTTTGTTTTTCTTTTCATCCGAACTTAGACTGGCTCTGGAAGCCCAAAAAGAGACCGACTTTGCCGATTGGTATTCTCAACTGATCACAAAGTCTGAATTACTGGAGTACTATGACATAAGTGGATGTTACATATTTCGCCCCTGGGCCTATTCTATGTGGCAAACCATTCAACGTTTTCTGGATTCCAAACTGCAACCTCTTGGCGTAGAGAATGCCTACTTCCCCATGTTCGTTACCAAATCAGCTCTTGAACGGGAAAAGAATCACTTGGCAGATTTTTCTCCCGAGGTAACTTTTTGCTTCGTTTTTGACCCATAATGTTAATTAATTACGTCCTTGTTCATCCCTTTGTGACCAAAGCCTCCCCAGCGGCTTCCGTCTCATCTTCAACGGGGTTGATAATTGCAATGCTCAGTGCCACATATTCGTCATTTCCCTTCATAGTAAGTAAGAATCAGTCAGACCGGAGGGTTGTTAATTTTCTTAAATGACGCATTTGCTCTCCTAGCATTGTTTGACATCTTTATTCTGAAACTCCACTGTAACGTGGCCTTTAGATTGGCCGTTGTATTTTTCGCCAAACGTCATTTTTACATTATCTATTGTAGATGTACATTTTTTGCAAGAATAAGCTGACAGTTGTTTTGTTAAAACCTAGATCGATCTACTCTATCTACATTTTGAATACTAACGTTGAGATATCGCACGCGATCCTTGTCTTTTGACACACAATTTTACATCAACTGAAACGAGATAAGTAGGAACGTTCTGTTACTTAGATGCAAATCCCTAAGATTCAATTCAACATTGTGCGATCATTGATGACAGTGCGCGCTTCTTACTTTGTTTACCCATTTTAAACTTTTGATGGTGTCAATTTAGTACATCTACACTTGATAATATAAAATGCTAAAAATGCACCCATTTGGTACATAAAGCTTAAGTTGACTTGACCTGTTCGAATGGTGATTCGGGAAATTCACCTTCCTCCTCCATCCAGGTCGCTTGGGTAACGAAATCGGGTGATTCTGACCTTGTTGAACCGGTGGCTATCCGACCAACCAGTGAAACCATCATGTATCCTGCATTCGCGAAATGGATCAAGTCCCATCGCGATCTCCCTCTTCGAATCAACCAGTGGAGTAACATTGTGCGGTGGGAATTCAAGCACCCTCAGCCATTTCTCCGGTGAGTTTTTCCTCCATGCTCTTGCGATTCACTGGTGCGAGATTCCCGCTGACCGGGAGATTACCTCTACTTATGTATCCATTGTTGTAGCACTCGCGAGTTCCTCTGGCAGGAGGGTCACACGGCACATGCCGACCAACGAGACGCAGAGGCCGAAGTGTTGACTATTCTCGATTTTTACGCCCAAGTTTACGAAGATCTCCTCGCAGTCCCTGTTATTAAAGGTACGCTTTTCTTTTACTGATTTTTGATTTTCTCATTTACACCACTTTGACTGCTCTGGGTTAGCACGCTCCTACCCATACTCTTTGCCGAAGTCAAGCCACTATTTTGTATTCTTCTTTGATAGTTCGACAGCCGAAGTCAGCCATAATCGAAAGGAAGAATGTTAGACATTCTGTTGGTTTACTTACATCTTGCCGAATCCACCTGTCACCGTTCACTTCCTCCGGTTGTCATATTAAACCGGCGTTGGAATGTTATGAAATGAAAAATGAAATGTGTCAGCTTATACGCCGTAACGGCACTTCGCTGCCGCGCGACCACCACCAGTCGCGCGCGGGCTGAGTATACCGCGAGGACGCCCACCCCTACGCTGATTCGAACCGGTGACCTTATGGTTGGAAAGCAAACGTGCCAACCACTCGGCCACCGGCCGACGTTGGAACGTTATGGTAACGGGTGACCATTATGTCGCGTTTACTTGATCGTCACACATGGGTTTAGTTGATGCGATTACTGAACGTCGCTCTTGGCCAAAACCTTATGCAAAGCTTCAAAGCGTACTGTGACGAGGATATAATAATGGACAGGTTGGTAACCCGACTCCGTTGGTTTCACCTTTGCTCATTGGTAGAGTCTGTGGAACATCTTCTACGGTTGTTCCCGATTCACGAACTACTGCAGCCATCGACTCATGAATTGCCTGATTGTATTGCGTTCCAGTTCTCGATTTCTTTTCTGCACTTGTGTGCTCCATCCCTTCGGTGGTACCAAACTTACATGATGCTTGCATACTTGGCGTTGTTCCCGCGTGATATACCTTATCTGGCTGTACTCGATGCGGACTACTGGCTCCAGGTAACTGAAAATCATTGCCACGTGAGGCGGGGTGCACAATCTTGATAAACATCTTTGACCCTAAGAGTAGTTTCATCATACGACTGGTAAAGGCTCGTGAACCATTTTGTGTACTTACGGTACATCTTTCTCCCTAAAGTTGCATCGGTGAGCTGAGTTTTGGAGGAGTGTGAGCCTGTTCTGGATCAGTTACAGCTGCAACCTGCACCCCTCGTACTCTTGTTCCTTCTGTCTAGTATTCGATGTAGAACGAAACTGTGGGTTGTGCACGGCAAACCATTCATAGACCTGTGGCGTCCACCGGCTGTTCACATTCATCGCGACAGCGAATTTAGAACCTGATTTCACTAATCGTATACACTATTTACTGTATCTCGTTCATCGACTGAAAAATTTGTGCGAAACGCGCTCATTTCGTATGTTTTTGCTGCAGGTCGAAAAACCGAAAAGGAAAAGTTTGCCGGTGCCGCCTACACGACTACAATAGAAGCTTTCATCTCTGCAACTGGTCGTGGTATTCAAGGCGCCACTTCTCACCATTTGGGCCAAAACTTCAGTCGTATGTTTGACGTTACTTACGACCACCCTACCACTGGGATGCCCGAGTATGTGTACCAGAACTCCTGGGGTTTGACCACTCGGACACTTGGGGTTCTTGTCATGACCCATGGGGATAACAAAGGCTTAGTGCTTTCACCACACATCGCCCCAATTCAGGTAAGGTTTTTGCGTACTTCCCCCAACTACCATTCCTACGTACATCACCCATACCTGGTAGATAGGTTATCAGTTCGAATGGTGACATTTACTACCATCCCATGGGCAGAAATATTTCCTCGTTTGACCGGTTTATGTATTATTTAGAACACTTCGACAGCGGAGTTGGTATTCACTGAGGTTACAGATTTCTGACATTTAACAGTAGCATGTGGCCCCGAAACGCTGGCTCATCCTACCGCTTACTCTTGAGCTTGAAACATCCATCTCCCTGCTGCCGAGGATAAATCCTTCGTCAGATCCCATATCCATCAGTTTCACTTCATTCTCCCGAGTTCTGTGTGTAGTATGCTTTTCGCTGCACTTCTATAATTGTTCACTTATCTAACACAAACCAGAAATTGAATTTTCGCACTTACATCTCTCCACAGGTCATTATTATCCCCTGTGGAATCACCAGTAAGAGCACAACCGAAGAGCGTGAGACGCTCATCTCCACCGCGCATGAGGTCACCACTGTACTACAAAAGCATCCCGCCGGGTTTCGCGTTCGGTGTGATGATCGTACTCATGTGTCACCCGGATGGAAGTTTAATCACTGGGAACTGAAAGGCGTTCCCGTCCGATTGGAGATTGGCCCACACGAAGTGGCAGAACGATCCGTCTGCGCAGTGTTGCGCCACAATGCAGACAAGGTGATACAATATTTTGTGTGCTTTTTAGTGTCACCATTTCGGAAAGTACCCCAACTATTCACCAGCCACGAATTTCGAGAGAGCTTTAGGATTGATCCAAACCACATGCTTTCACAAAGTCTCTTTAGCCCACCACCCTCGTACTCTTTGCTAGCTTAGTACGAGCGAAAGGCAACAACTAAGAAGCGATATCGTGGCGTCCATGCAAATGCACCGACCAATTCCTGTACTTAAAAGGTTTGCTAAAACGACATTGCGTCGCTGCGCCTCTCAAATACCTTCCAACCGCCAATGTACCAACTAATTCAATGAGGATGGGCCGTGAATTGTTTAGCAAACCGAGAAGGAAACGCGACCTACACGTACAATATCTTAGTATTATATGTACCAAATGAACTTTCCATACATTCGTTTGTCAGGTTACTGGGATGGATCGGTAGTCAATCCGTTTTCACACTATCGATCGCTACACTTGCTTCTGTCGTATTCGCACTTCTGTGCCTCCCTCTCAGAATATGCATTTTCATTGTGTCCACCCTTTCCTGGTTAGGGTTTAACTCTCGTCTTCAATATAGGCCTTTTTAGTTGACAGCCTGTATACGGATTGTAACGATCCATTTCATTTCTACTTGCTGTGCATGTCGGGTGGTTCGAAAGTAACGCCTGTTTCACTTTTTGCCCGGTATTTATAGTATTGTGCGACTGGTGTTTATTCTTTCTCACTTGGTTTTTCTTCATGCCAGTCTATGCCACCAGACTTAGAAGGGTTGGATCAGTTCCGATGAAGTTCACCGCAACCAAATTCCGTTGAGATGCACGGAACGTTCTTACCAATATTTTAAAACGTGTGATTGCTCAAACCAGCTAACAACACCACGCCGTTTCTGGCAGATAGTCATGTCATTTGCACGTTTGCTACATTCACAATACGGAAGATTGCTGAATACTGTGTTGTTCGAGGAAGAAGACATCTAAATCTGTGCGACTTCATCTAACTATGATCACAACGTGTTTAAAGAATAGAATCTGTGGCTTATCAACACTCGAATTGTTTCCCAAGTTCTCACCTTATATCGTAAAAGTTTGTCAGCCTCACAGTGAAATGGGGCTCAAATGGACTGTCATTGACGGCGGGTAATTATCCGCTGCATTTCACATTGGAGAAATGTAGATCCAGTAATATTTTGAACTCATGCGCCGAGTTTGCTTCCACTATGTGCTCTTGCAGACTGTTCCAAACATTGACCGCTCTTCGTCCGAAGTCACGTCGGTTACCGCTGTTCCTGATGGCCTAATCGACTTGCTGAGCTTACCGTTCACTTGATAGTGACTTGCTTCAGTGGAATTTGCTTTGTATTACATACAGCGATCAGCAAAGTATATTTCAATTTGGTGTCTGATCCCAGCCTCGCACAGTTTGCCTAGTTTATGCTCACAGTGCGATTACTCACCACGATCAGAAGTGTAGGGCTTCTGAGCTCCTACTGCACTAACTCGCTGCTGCAACAATTTCCTACTGGCTCGTGCCTTCCTATCTCTCGTATCTTCTAACAATTTGTTGGACTGTCCTATGCTGCCATCAGAATATGGCCGCCTCGAAACTTGTACTGCCTAATCTCCATTTATTGAACCACACTTGGTCCATCAACGGGAGATAAATCACCGACCACTAGATTAGGTGTTGATAGTCCGTTACGCGATTGTCTAGGAACATGGGGCGCTTGCTTGCAGTTTCTCACAAATTCAAGTATCGAAAACTGTAGGAAGCTGTCTCGCTGATGCCACTTCGTTCTCACGTACTAGCCAGCTGTTCGCTATTGCACAGTGTTTGCGGAATGTAAACTTAATCCTGTATATGTGTTTTGTGTTTTTTGCGAAGATTCGTCGCAACCAGACTCAAGTAGACAGCGACTGCATATCCAGCAAAGTGCTAGACAGTCTTTTCGTCCTATTGGGATTCGTCAATAGCGCGCACTCGCCCAATCCTCCCAGATTCGAACCCACGATCTTACTCTTACGAGCCAGCGATTTACGCCACTGATCCATGGGCGACAGCATCGGAACGCCATGACTGACATCTAAATGCGATCTAGCGCGGCTCTGGGGGCTAGCCCTCTCCTCATGCATGACAGTGAAAGATAAGCCTCGCTATATCGCAGTTAGAAATCAGTCATGGCGGTCCGCTGCCATCGCCCATGAATCAGTGGCGTAAGTCGCTGGCTCGTAAGAGTAAGGTTGTGGGTACGAATCCGGTAGAACTCGACGGGTGCGCGCTATTGACGAATCCCAGTAGGACGAAACGGCCTTGTAGCTGCGACGAATCTTCACATAAAAGCCAATAATTCCACCTACAACTCACTAGTAATGTGCTTTTAGGTCTTACACCGAGTCTCCACTCAACTCTTCTTTATTACTGATCAGTTTGGTCCTCCTTCTTATGGTTGTATGTCAATTTAGCACCAGGATGGAGGGTTGAAGTACTACTTTTGCTGTCATCGTTGATGGTTACCTGTTTTCGATGAAATATCACTTATTAGCATATTCTTCACTCACCGCAAAGTATTTCCCCTAAGTACCGCGCTGCTGACGACAGGTACTGACTCTCCTACTGCAATGAACCTTCTTGAAAAGCCCTATCTCATCGGCTCAACCCTTGTCAGTGTCTCTGGGTTTTTTTCGTACTCACGCCGTTTTTCACCACTTTCAGCTACAAATTCCCGTGGATGAGCTGAGCACTCGATTACCACCCCTTATGGATTCCATTCATGCGGATATGCTGAACAGAGCGAGGGCCGATTTATCTTCCCACATATTGCGAGCAGAACATATGGACGAATTACGGGCCGCCCTTGATGCCAAGTCGTTGGCTATCGTTCCGTTCTGCTGCGATTCAGTTTGCGAGGAACACATCCGGAACGAATCCGCCCAGTAAGCTACCCATATTGATAAACTGTTACAATTTTGTTGTTATTTGTGTCCAGCCTATATAGTGGCTGTTAGGGTTGCTTCATCTGAGCAGTTCTGTGATGGTATATCACACTACATTAAATAGACAGCCTTCTTGACGCGTCTAAATTCCATCGGATGATCACAGCCGAGCATACTAACGTGGATATCGATAACTTGGTGGACAATTTGTATCATTTACGTTTTATCGTCACAGCAATGTCTTTTGATCTCGTCTGGGAATTCTCGAACATCATGCGGATGTAGTTCAGATTGACATTCGGGTGCATCCCCTTGTCGAAATAGCAATACCACCCACCGGTTTGTACCAAATGTGAGTAGTTTTGTGCAACAGTGGAATGCAAATGCAATTGCATTATTGGTAACTCACCTGCCTCCTGTCCTGTTCTCACTCCCATTTTTACTCCTTCTCTTACACTCGCGCTCAACCACGCCATTCTATCCCTTCTATCTCGTGCACAGGAATGTCGTTGTAGAACCTGGAGCCCCGGCAATGGGTGCGAAGTCGTTGTGCATTCCTTTCAACTGCGATTTCAACCCGAGCTTACCGTGTGGAACCCCAGCGTTGGGCACTAAATGTATAGGCTCTCCACGTTGCAAACTCCCTGCTGTGTCTTATACTCTGTTTGGCCGTAGCTACTGAATGCTCATGTTCCTTTGTTCATCCTCGCTTCCCCTGCTCTTGTAATTTTGTACACGAAATACATAGGTGCTCGATGAAAGATTTTCGCATGATTCCCCTTCGTGGTGATCTGATCTTGTTTCGCTTCAATCATATCGATCGTTACTCGTTCGCTTTTGTGTCAAAATGCTGTTTCCTACTTACAGAGCATCTGGCGCAGTTGCATCGGTATTGCAGTGCACATGATTGACGCCAGTTCCTTTTGCTTGTTGCAAGAACGTACTCTCGCAGGGGTAGATCACAGTCACATTGCACGCTTCCACCCATCTACACTGCCATCGGTGTAAACTAATACGTCTACTCAAGGTTGTTACTTTGCTGTAATTCCAATCTCTACACCAACTTAGTTACAATCCTAATCTCTGGCCTCTTGGAGAGAAAAAAAATCAAGTGCGACATTTTGCCAACATCTGCACCCAACGCCACGGAGCATGAAATATCGAGCTGACTTAAACATCTAGTCTACTCAATGACGCTTTCCCGTCTAGTCCAATACCGTGAGGAGATTAAGTGTGCCACACTATTGCAATTTGGCGTACATCTTCTTGATACACTCTCATCGAACCCAAATTCGGGAATAAACTAGTCTTCTTTGGCTTCGAATTGAATTTGTCCCATGATAACGTCCTTATAAAAGGGATTCTGAAGCCATTTAACTAATTGAGCGTCTCTTATTCACCATCCTCATTATACACGTCAGCTAGAGGTGGGAAACACCTCAGCTACTGTGCCGCAATACATAAATGAAAAAGGAAAATAAATACAAAAGTTGCATGCCAGCTGAGCTACCAGCAACGGATAGGCATCGTTCCGGTAAGCTACCAGCCGGCTACTAGGCAAAAAGAAAAAATTATTATGTTTTACGCTAAGAAATGAGATCGTAGGTGGAGGGGAGGCTAAAAGGGATGGGGAGGGACAAAGAAACTCACAGCACGAACGCCACTGAGGTCGGCTCCTTGCCATGTCAGCAAGTGTATCCAGCCAAACGTGTTCACCGTCTTTTGGACCCCAACCAAGGAGCCGTGACGCTCCAACCGAGGCCAGCTCAGAAGTGAGGGCCTTCATTCCTCTGGACCAAGTCATCGCTTGGCCACCCCTCCTCTTCTTCCATCCACATCCCCGGTGAGCAAACAACGCACGTCGTGGAAGTCGATGGGCTGGCATGCGCAACACGTGGCCCAGCCATCGGAGCCTGGTGCGTGAAATGACGGTGCTGAGCGGTTCAGTTCCTTTTCCTGTGCCGTAAACAAGGCGTCGAACACGCTCGTTACTCACGCGGTGTTCCCACCAGATGTGAGCCAAACTGCGAAGGCACCGATGGTCGAACGTAACTAGCCTCTTCATGTCCGCCGATCTTAGGGGCCAGGTTTCGCAACCGTACAGTAAGGTCGAACGTACCGCTGCATTGTACACTCTACCCTTCAGGGCGAGAGTAATGTCGCGCCGCCGCCATAGGTGGCGAAGGTTAGCAAAAGCACTTCGAGCTTTTGCTATACGGTTCGTGATCTCGTCTTCGATCCCAAGGGCGCTGATACAACTTCCCAGGTAGTTGAATTTCCGAACGACTTCTAGCTGATCCCCACCAAGGGTCAGCGCAGGAGGCGATCCCTGCCAATCTTGGAGGAACGCTTTGCATTTCGATGGTGCAAAGCAAAGCCCGAAGCGGCTGACAGCCAGTGCTAATCTGTCCAGCGCGGCTTGGCACGTCTGGGAGCTGTCACAGATGAGGGCAATGTCGTCTGCATACTCCAAGTCGAGAAGTCGTTCTCCTGGGAGTAGCTCCACACCTTCCAAGTCATGTCCTGTAAATGCAATCTCCATGACTTCGTCAATAGCGAAGTTGAAGAGGAAAGGTGACAGCGGGCATCCTTGTCTCACACCGCTGGAGATATTGAAGGGTGGCGACAGCTTGCCGTAAGCCCTCACTCTGCCCGTGCTACGCGCGTATAATGCTCGGATAATATTTACATATTTCTCGGGCACACCTTTCCTGAGTAGACAATTCCAAAGGGCACATCGATCAACCGAATCGAAGGCACCTTTGATGTCGAGGAACACGACTACGGTGGGCCGCCAATATGTGTGACGGTGCTCCAACAACTGACGCAAGGTGAAGATGTGGTCGATGCAGCCACGACCCCGACGAAACCCGGCTTGCTCCTCACGAATCTGGCTTTCACGAGCGCCAGTCAGTCTGTGAAGGATTATGGAGGCGATGGAGATCAGACTGATTCCTCTATGGTTGCCGCATTCCGAACGCGAGCCTCCTTTGAAGATGGGAACAATAACGGAGCGGCTCCAGTCGGTTGGGACAGTCTCCTGCTCCCACAGTTTCACTAGTAATTCATGTAAAGCATCAACAAGAGCAGAGCCTCCGAATTTGAAGAGGGCTGGAGGAAGATCATCTGGTCCCGCGGCTTTGTTCAACTTCAACAGTCCGATCTCACGTTCGACTTCTGAGCGAGAGGGTGGATCCAAAGGGACAGCCCACGGAGCAGGGCGATCACTGGCCGGCGAAGAATCGAACAATTCTAGCCGATTAAATTGCTTTTCAAAATGCTCAGCCCAACGCTCCAAACGTTTTGACAAATTGTGGATAGGCTGTCCACTCTCGTCACGTATAGTTTCACTAACACCAGGTCTCCTGCTGCCCGTTTCCCGTATCAGACGGAATAACTTACGATGGTTGCCAAGGGCAGCGGCCACTTCCATCTCTGACGCACGGTGAGACCACCAAGATTCGCGGTCTCTCTTCAGGCTAGCACGAAGTCTTGCCCGGAGCTCTTTGCGAGTTTCATTGTGTTCGCTTCCAGCCGGGATATGCCGGCGAGCATCGATAAGTTCCAGAGACTGCGAAGAGACCCAATAACCATGTTGGCTATTAGACATACCACATGAGGATTTGCCTGCTGCTAGTAAGGTCTGGTGAACATGTGACCAGTGACCATCAATTGTCTCCAGTGAGCGCTTACTCAACTCGCATGTCAGCGTACTTCGATACGCATTCAGAACAGCTGGCTTTGTCAGTTGGCTGGTGTCAATGCGCTCACAGCGTCGTCGTGGGCGTCCGCCAAAACGCATCCGCATGTCAGCACATACAAGTGCATGATCGGTGTCCACACATGTGCTCCAAATCGAGCGACAGTTCTGGACGCAGCCTCTCCAGCGGTAACTGATAGCAATGTGATCGATCTGCGTCCAAGGCTGGTTCGAGGCTGGTGGGCGCCAAGTCACCCTCCGGCGGGTGCTGTGTCGGAAGTTAGTGCTCGCAAGAAATAAGCGAGCATCTTCACACAAATGAAGTAACCGCTCACCGTTATCATTACGGGAGCCTACACCGTGCTGACCGCCCAGATGCATTTCATCAGTGGACAACTTTCCAACTTGCGCGTTCAGATCCCCAGCCAGCACAACAGTGTCCGTGCTTCTTCTGTGGCGAAGGAGCTGGGTCAGTTGGCGGTAAAAGTCGTTCTTTACCGAATCATCGCTACAGTTTGTGGGTGCGTAGGCAGCGATGATGAATAGACACCTATTAGTCCCGCGCGACTTCGAAGCTTTGAACGAGCCAGCCAATCGGACCGCACACATCCGGCTACTGATTGGAATCCAATCAACCAGAGCAGCTTCAGCCCGGGGACTCAGGGCAATGCCAACACCAGCTTGGCCGGTGCTCGAAGCTGCATCGTCACCGGATAGGCGCAATGAGAAAACACTGCTTGCGTCACCTGAAGGGGATCGCAGAGTGAGCACAGAGCTCGAGTCTTGCAGGCGGGTCTCCGATAAGCAGCAGATGTCGATCGAGAGGGTCTCTAATGTTCGGGCAAGTGCTGCCTGTTGACCGATCTGTAGTAATGTGCGTACATTGAGGCATGCCAATCTGAAGGAGGATCGAGGGCTCCAAATGCAAGCCGATGAACTGGAATGGACCGCTTGATTGGACATGGGCTTGTCGACAGGAGAGGAGTGACGCTCCGCGTTCACATGTGAGTTGAAATTAGAAGATAAATGCCTAGCAAAGCATGTTGGGGGAGGGCCAAGAATCGGGGGGTTGAAAACTGGGGGATAAAAGTGAAGTTGGAACGGGACGGTAAGAGTGAAAAAGCGTAAGAGGGGAATAAGAAGACGGGAAGGCTTGAGCAGTAGCATCCAAACCCCTATCCACCCTGCTCGATGCAGCAGATAGGGCACCGTTGATTATCCTCTGCGGTGGCCAGAGCATCAAGAAATTGTTTGAAGAAAGATTCATTGTATTGCGTGGGCAGGATACTGTCAGGTTGCCCAGGCCTAGACAGGAGAACGATTAGGGTTCTCAACCAAAGCCTTTGGTTCAAAAACCTGACCGCAAGGCAGCGGGTTTGGCGTTGGGCTACAAGGAGTCCGTTTTAAGGAATAAGGTGCCACCCTCATTCCAACCCCCAACCTGGAGGACCAGGAGGCTGAGTTTGTCTGGCCTCTAACCATTGACCAATCTGGTATGAGTGGCTCTGAAGGTGCAAAAGCACCACCCAGCATAGCTCAATGGATCGCTGAGGCACACAAACCATCGCACCACGGTAAGGTCCAGCCTCACCAACCTACCATCATCCCCGTTGGCAATCTCTGATTAACTCACCCCGGATTCGCCGGTCGGTAGGGTTCAGATGAGTGGTCTTTCACTTCACAAGATAGGTTGCGCTGTATCGCATGTACTTGGTTACGGCAGCCGCCACCATCTCCCAACGGTTCTAGTCACTATTTTCAAACAGGAGGTTTGCGGAGTCTGACCCCTCATTAGACGATACCGATTCTTCAAGAAACGACCTGTCCCTTTGTTGCATCTCCGAGTGTATGGTGCCTGATTGACTGTGATCGTTCTTCCAGCATCTCGGGGTAGGTGAAACATCTCCCAGGTGTTCAGGATGGCGCTGGTTTCCGGCTCCCGCCCTCCACCAATGTTCCCTACCTATTTCAGGACTTACACCGGAATTCGGTCAACATCACAACAGTTTTTAATCGCAACCTAACGGCAGTAAAACCATTGATCGTGTCTGTCAAGGTAAA